GAGGCCTAAACTCAATCTGCAATCAGAGCTGGGCCTGAACAATTATTTGAGATGATGATGTTTTCCTTGACTAATCTTGAGCTGCAGACGATCTGCAGAACTGTTCGGCAGAGCAATGGGAAGGAAATCATCAGGCAGGCTGGTCTAAAGTATCCAGACGCCTGAACTTGGTCTGCTATCAGAGCTGGGTTCGGAAAACCGTTCGTAGTCTGCTAATTTTTTAGAGATGGTGATGGTCTTTGTGACACTCGAGCTGGTGATGAGCTACAGAGCTGTTTGTCCCATGAGTCGAGCGTGAAATGATAGGAAGCGCTAGTTGGCCGACCCGGCTGGGGCGGGCAATGTGATGACCTGGGGTCGGTTTTTGGAAGATTCTGAGATATTGTGAAATTGGTTGTCAGAACGGGTTTTCTCGCACCTGTAGTGGATTATGCCGCGTCTGCCTGTCAAATTCTCAGGTCCGTAGCTGCAGTATTACTGTGAGAACAAATGGCGGAACCGACTTTACAGAAGAAAAAAACGAAAAACGTTTTTTTTTTTTTTGGGGGGGGGGGAGTTTTTTCCAGCTCCCTCCATGTGTTCCGAGCAGCGCCGCGCGTCTTGATCTGAGCTCGATCGGGCACTTATTACTGCCAAAAAGCACTCGGGCAGGATCGATTGTTCCGTGAGTTTTCGCGTATTCTGAGCAGTTACTGGGTGAAGATGCACTAAGTCGTTGCACGTCTCTGAATGTCTGCACGAGTTTGTCTATTCCAGGGTTTCTGTCCATTCATGCGCGCCGCTCTAAAGTCTCTAGACGCCTCAACTCGGTCTGCTATCAGCTGCGTTCGTACCTCGTAGAGCTCTTCGGCATCGATGAGCTAGAGGAATTCTGGCGCGGGGTGCAGCTAGTTGGTCGACCCGACCAGAGAAGAAGATGTGGTAACTTGGGCTCGGTTTGGCTAAGATTTGAAAGACATGTAACAATTCGTTCTGAGATATCAGTTTTTTCGCACCTGTGAAAGACTATGAGGGCCTCTGCGTCTTAAAAGGAACTCCGTAGCCGCACTTTTACTATCAAAACACTCGGCGGAACCAACTTCACGTCCACACAGTTTTTTTTTTTTTTTTTTTTTTTTTTTTTTTTGAGACATGCTTCCAGACGCTCTCTCTTTCGATTCCGCACCTGTGAGAGATCATACGAGCGTGCGAGGAGCTCTACGAGGTCCCCGGCGGTAGCCAGGTTCTCGAGAAGCTCTGCGAGGTCCCCGGTGAGGCTCAAGCAAATCTCGGCTCAGGGCCCCCGTGGCCTAGAGAGTCTGTCGTCCTCGTCGTGGGACGTGCTGCGGGCCGCCGTGGCGCCATAGTGGATCACCGACGACTTCCGCACCTCCAGCCGCCGCTGCCTCTCTTTGTTTGATTGTCGCTTGCTTTTCTTTGCATATTGTGTCTCCTCATCAGTTTCTTGAAGTCTTGTCTATTGTTGGCATTGCGGCGAATATTGTGTCTCCTTATCAGTTTCGTGAGGTATTATCTCGACATCGTAAACGTTCGGCATAAGAAGCGGATTTGATCGAGTCTGTAGACGCGGATTGGCTCAGAAAGTGGGGTGTTCAGCCACAGACGGACGACGAGTGGCTTGAATCGTGGTGTGCACCTCCTCTCAGGTCTTCGAGATGGCTGCCGCTGACGTTACCATGCATGATCAGCCCACTCAGAAACGTCATCGGGAGGAGGAGGAGAGGACTAGTGCTCAGGAGCTTGAGGGGAAAGAGGGTGTCGAGGCGATGTTCCATAAAATGATGTACATGTATGAGGATTCCACTGAATCCATCAAAGAGAGTATTGAGGGTCAAAAGGAACAGTTCAAACGTGTAGAGGCTACCGTTGAAAAGCAAGGTTCGGCCATCGCCAGTCTCGAGAACAGTGAGGTGGCACTTGAAAATCTTGTCAGCAACATGCAGAAGAGTGCTTCGACCACATCAGGGCCCAGTAGTGGCGGTGCTCCAGTGGCCCCATCTCGTCCAGGCTCTGCTGCGAATCCAGCATATTTCACGCCAACATCTATTGAGCTGAAAGGTTGGGTCACTAACTTGAATGATCGCACGGTTCGTTCGGAACAGATGCCCATGTGGTCGGGCTGTAAGCAGATAGTTGATAATGTAATCAAAATTTTCGGAGAAGATGATACCACATACATTTTTCCTGATGCGACAGAGGGTAAATGCAGGCATGTATATGTTTGGTTCTTTCAAGATTAAGTTCAAACATGGCACTGACCGTGATGTGATCTGGCGTGTGAAACGTGACATTGATCGTGTTGCCGCTGCTGTCGAGAACCGTGTTCCGCCACCCCCAGGCACTACTATTCAGCCGCCTCAGGTGCTTGCTGCTGGTGTCAGTCAAAAGTTCGAGCCCACACTCATTCGTGTGACGTTGGAGTGTCCGAGTTGGAAACGTGATCATGTGAAAGCTGTCAGCCGTTTCTGTGGAACGATTCGCTCGATATGCACCGATCTTTGTATGCCCATGCTTGCAATCAAAGGCGAGATGGGCCCTCCTCGTTTCACGATTTGGACTATCCCGCAGAACTCAGGCGTGCGTCCCATCGTGCTTGCAGAGCTTGCTACCTCCAAGTCCCTGCGGGAGGTCAGCGTGGACGGTTTCACGAAGCTGCAGCGTGCATACCCAGCTTTTTCTCGAGATCGTTCAGAGGTCGAAGCTGAAGTGAAAGGGCGTTCCTGACGACAGCCTTCCAGGTCCAGTTCGTTTGTAGGGCTCCAGGTGGGATCTTGGAATCTGAATAGGGCTGGTACTATCAATTTCCGTGGGAAGAGATCCTGAGGGCTTTGAAGATCAGGGGGTCGCTCTTCGGCGTGCAGGAGACACGCAATCTTGTTGGGGGTATTTTCGATGCAGTACTTACTAGACTACGCTTGGGTATTAGATCCAGCAGGTGTGCAAGGTGTGCTATTCTTTTAGTGATGAGTGGGCGGCGTCCATCCGACATTGTAGATGTGAGTTTGATCGTTTCTGCGGTGTTGTTTCCGGCAGTGGTAAATCTCCGTTGGTGGTTTTTCAGTATGTACCTACCTGATCCAGGTATTCCTAATTGTGAGGATATCCAGATATCCGTGTTTGGGAAACTGGAGAGTGTTGTGCGTTCTCTTAGAGGCAGATGGTGCAAGGCCAGCTTTGTCTTTCTTGCGGATGCCAACGTTGAGTTGCCACCGCATGCCCGTTTTACGTGTGCACGTGCGGGGGGGGAGTTCGAGGCGGTGGGTGGAGCTACGAAGGAGGTGAAGAGGATTATGAACGAAGGAGGAGCTCAACGGGAACGGAGGGATTGCAGAGAACGGCTTCGCAGTAACTTCTTAGGATTTCTCGCCCGCCTGGGGTTGACAGCGGCGAACACGTTTCAAGATGAAAGACTCCGTACCTGGGAAGCGTGCGGGGCCACGAGATGGGGCACCCCCAAAAAGGTCCTGGACTATATCTTGATTCCGAGGGAGTGGAATACTACGGATATCTTGGCCAAAAAACATTTTCCACAACGGGGGTTCCACGAACCGTTCCAGATTGAGTGATCATGCGTTGGTGCAGGGTGCTTTCTCCAAACCAGGTGTGGAGCTCCAGCGCTCCTTTACTAGAACTGCCACTCGTGAACGTTCCCTGGTCGGGTTTAAATTTCCTACAGGGGAGGATGAGGATATGGCTCGGAGACGTATTGATAGGTTTCTTGGGGATGCCACTGTAGCGTGTTCTCCTGGGGATCTATCCAACATGTTCATGAGCGCTTACACGAATGCAGAGAACGTGAACTTCGCGACGGCTAAGTTGGGCCGGGGTTTGCCGCCCGTTCGCCCGCCCAAGCTGCAGCGTGGCCTAGAGAAGCTACGCCGTGCAGTGCCAGCCTTGTCGGAGGAGGAGCGCAGAGAGCTCCGTGTTGTTTGCAATCGGTATCGCAAGGCTTACCGACGCGCACTTGCCGAGTGGGACAGTCCCATTTCGAGGCGCAAGGTTCGCCACCGCATCAAGCACCCTGTCATAGACGGGATGGTCACGGAGGACAGGGGGGAGTGGAGGCGGGAAATTCGGGATTACTCTACTGCCAAGTATTCGTCGGAGGAGGTTAGGGAGGAGAGCGTCAACATGTTGGAGGAGTTGAAGAAGGAGGCTGTGCCCAATTTCAAGGATGGACGATGTACGGAGTACATCAGCATGGCTATTCTTTGCATGGCGCGAAGCTGCCTGAAGACGCTGCGGGCGACAGGGCCCGACCGTGTGCCAACCGAAATACTTCGTGCTCTCCCCTGGTCTGCTCTCCGCTCTATCCAGATGCTAATCGATCGTATATTCACGTGTTCTCAGAACTATCCTGAGGTGTGGAGGGAGGTCCTGATTTCGTTCATGCCCAAGGTACCTTGCGTGACGACGTTGTCTGAGGGTCGATACCTTGTTATGCAAAATGCTATTTCTCGTTGGTATTCGCCCTGTGTGGTTATTCTTACTGGGAATATTGTACAGCGTTCTAGGCTATTCCATAACTTGGGTATCTATGGGTTCCAGGAGGCACGTAAGACTTGGGAGATTACTAGCAGTCTACAAACACTGGCTCAACACGGGGATACGTGGGGTAAGAATGAGAGTGTGTACATTGTGAATGCTGATATCAAACAAGCGTTCGATCATTGTAGTTTAGCTAATGTGAGAAAAGGTTTACAACATGCACATGTACCTTCATATCTTCAATCTGCTCTATTGGCCCCGTTAGGTGGAACCATATGTACTGTCATTGTGGAAGGGATGGAAACTCCTGGGCTCCATTGGGATAGGTGCATACGTACGGGGGGCCCTGAGGGGCCCCTGGTGTTCAACTTGATTATCGTGGCGATGTGGGCAGAGGCCATCAGATCGTGGGATGTGAAGGGAATGGGCTACTGTGCCGAAGGGCTCTATGGGTCCATGCGTAAGGAGCTCCTCATCAGCCACTTCCTCTGGGCTGACAACGTCTATCTCGTAGCCGGCTCGGCTGCAGATCTCAGGAGCATGGTTCACGATCTAACTTTACCACTGTTCTCATTCGGCATGGCGTGGAAGGCGTCATCATTGCTCTTCATGTCCTGTGGGCTTGCACCACGCTGTAATGCAGACGGCGTCATCGTACCCGGGGAAGACCTCATTGTTGTCACACCAGAGGTTTTGCGTTTCAGAAATTTTTTTCGATGAATGTGCTCGGCGTCGAGATCCACTTTGAGTTCAATACTCCTACCCATCCCGATGTGGATTACCGTCTGTCCATGGCACGTAAGAGCTTCTTTGGCATGTCTAACTATTTTCGATGTTCGGCGGTGAGTATTCGTGATAAATTCTGGAGGTATCAGGAGAAGGTCCAGGGGATAGCCATGTACGGTATTGAGGGTATGACGCTCGACAACCATTCTTTCCAGCGTATGCACTCCGTCGAGGGTTTCTGCCTGTGTAAAATGTTCACTTGTCCCAGGGGACCTGAGGAGAATGTTTCCACGTGGAGTCGGAGGAGGTATGCGGAGGCTAGGAGGAAATTTCAGGAGATGGGATTTGCTTCCATGGTGCAAAGGTTTCTTCGTGTTTCCTGGAACTTGGCCAAAGACATGTGCGAGTTTTTCCATGTGCTCGATGCGGATATATATATATATATATATATATATATATATATATATATATATACATGATGAGTGGAAGAGTGCAGATCGAACATGGCGTTATGTACGTGCGTGCTTGTGTGCATATGGTGTGATGTGGGATCGTATTCGTACGGGCGCTTCGGAGTTCCTGCGCATGAATTTCTGCTTTCGGGAATCCAGTCAGATGAAACGCCAACGAGGAGGGGGCTTGGCAATCGGGCAACGACATTGGACCCACACGTTTTCGGAGTTCTTCGGCCCCAATTGGTGGGAGGGGTTCCGTGCTACGCCTGGGACCTTTGAGCAGTTCGCCGCACACGTATGTTCACGGGATATGCTTGATTGTTTCCAGATTCGTGCTAACGCCCTTAGTCATCTTCGGGTCGCTGGTGAGGTCCATATCCAAACACAACAGGAACTTCGGGAGTATGGAGTTGAGGAGGGATCACAACTTGCCAACGATCGTCTTGCTAAACGACTTGCTGTACACGCATCCAAATGGGAAAATGCCGTTTGAGATCTCGAAGCCTTTGGAGTCCCCGTAAGTATTCATGGAGATAGTCTCTTGATTGTATCATGGTGTCATGGGTACTGGCAAGTGTTTGCCAATAATTTCCAGAGAAGAGTTGACATGATGATGAACCGTCTGGATGGTATGTCTTTTATGTTTTGTATACGCCCACTTGCTCCTGGACGAGATCTGATCGAACACTGCTTCAAGGAATGTAATACAAGGGCGGACGTGCTCACTCATACTGCCCGTGAGGGCAACGACATATTTCAGGATCGTATAGGGCAGGAGCCCAATGAGATTTCGAGTCTGTACAGGTATTGTGCCATCGACTGTGGCTTCGATGGCGGTGTGTCGACGGCTGGTGTCGGAGTCGGTTGCTGGATTGATGTCGGTCCTGTCTCGCGGACTTGTCGTAAGCCGAGCTCCAGAGATATTGTGTGGACGGAGGTGTGCAGTGCTGCTTTCTCTATCGACAACAATGCTTCAGTTACCGATGCCGAGATGTCGGCGATTGAACATGCCATTGATGTTCTTCCACGGGTTGTACACACATACGTTGAGTTTGAACTATTGTGACTTGTGATTTCGTGTTTTTTTCTTCATACTTGTACGTTCTCATGCATGCACGTGTGTCGAATAAGAGCTTCGCTTGACAGTCACTTGTTCTGTATCAGAGCTTCGCTCCCTGACTGCGGCACTCGCTGTGGTGGGCGGCTTGGCTCACCTGTATGTTGCCCGTTTCTTGCTTGCGACTGGGCCAGACGGCCCGCGCAGTCGACCGCAAAGACCGCAAAGAACCAGGTCGACGGTTTACCGCCGTCGCCAGCTTGAGCAGAGTTTATCAGACCATGAGGCCACGCCATCGAAACCAACGGGGGCTCACAAGACCAATGTGTACAATTAGCGAACTCACAGTGTGCAAGGGAGCACCGTATGGGAAACCCAACAGCTGACAGCGCAATGCTGCTTGAAACGAGGGGGGCCCCAGCGGTGAGGCCTGGCTGGGCAGGAAGTAATCTCTGCTCCACCAGGTTACCGCCGGGACCCTCGTAGAGCTCTTCACATATCATATCAGTGCCAAATGACAAGGAAAGAGCATTCTCGAATGTCAGCTTAACAATCCGTAAAAGCTACTTTTCGGATTTTATTCAAAACGAACCTTCAAATCTTTCAGAATCTTCAGAAAACTGGCCCGAGGTCATTCTATTGTCCGTTCTGGCCCGGGTCTTTGTCGCAGCAATCGGGAGCAAATCATCAGGCACGCTAGCGTAAAGTATCTAGACGCCTGAAATCGGTCTGCATTGAGAGCTAGGTCCGAAAACTATCGTATCTTGTAATGCTTCAGAGATGATCATGATTCTCTTAACTAAACTGGAGCTGCAGACGAGCTACATAAGTATTCGGCAGAACAATCAGAGGGAAATCGTCAGGCGCGCTAGTCTCAAGTATCTAGACGCCGGAACTCGTATCAGAGCTAGGTTCGAACAATTATTTGTACCCTGCTAATTTTTAGAGATGGTGATGATTTTCTTGACTTAACTCGGGCCGGAGATGCGCTACATAGCCGTTTGTTACATAAGTCGAACAAAGATCCTGAGCTCGCCTACTGTTCCGACTTCTTCAAAAAAAAGAGCGCAGATCGTTTTTTGCTTGCAGCTCTGATAGCAGATCTATCTCAGGCGTCTACTTTGCATCAGATCCTCCGCATTCCCTATCGATTGGTGTGCATGAGCTCCGTAGCTCGGTTGCAGCTCGAATTTGAGTAGAGAAACCAACATCATCTCTCACAGAATAATGCAGGAATGCGAATCGTTTTTGAGACTGAACTCTGGTAGCATACCGATCTTCTTGATACTTCAGGCAATGTTTTTGATTAGAGTCTGCTAGCCTTGTGCTTCCCAGTTCCGTAGCTTGCCTACAGCTCGAACTAAGTGAAGAAACCAACATCGCCTCTCCAAGAATTGCAGAGTGCAAATATTTGTTCGGATTAGCGCTGCTGATGATTCCCTGTCGATTTGTCTGCTTCCGAGCTCTTTAGCTCGCCGACAGCTCGATTAAGTAAAGAAAACAAGCTTTCATCTTCACAAGCTTTGCAGAGTGGGAATCTAAGTTTCAGTCGCATCTCTGGTAGCATATCGATCTCAGACGTCTCGATTTCTGGGCGCATGTTTCTGATTATTGAATCGCTTCGCTCATTCCGCCGGCCCGTGATATGGCATCGCTGGTTTTTGTCTGTGCGTTCGTTGCCCATGTTGCGCTCTTGGGGGCGGGTGTCGTTCGGACGCGTTGCGTGGGGAGTTTTGATGGTGAAGCAGTTCCCTGGGGGTCGTCTCTCGATGGGGCGAAATAGAGTCGTCGTCAAGATGCTTCTTTGGGGGGCCTCTTGGGGTCTGTTGAGAGGCCGTTCGGGGGCGCCTGGGAGACATGTTTGAAGCCTTCTGGGGCTTCTTTTGGGCCTCCTGGGAGTCTCCTGGGGCCTCTTGGCGACATCTTGGGGCCTCTTGGAGGCCTCTTGGGGCCTCTTTGGGACCTCCTGGGCGCCTTCTGGGACGGAGGGCTCCATTTTTGAGTTCTCGGTATCCCTCCTGAGTCCCTCTTGGGCCCGTCTTGGGGCCTCTTGGTCCGTCTTGGGCGGCACTTGGGCCGTCTTGAGGGCTCTCTTGGGTCGTTTCGGCGCCGTCTTGGGAGCTTCGTGGGCCGTCTTGGAGCGGTCTTGGGGGCCTCTTGGGCCGTCTTGGAGCGTCCGGAAGCCGAAAAAGCCAGAACACAAAAAACATCGAAAAAACCAATGAAAATCAACGATTTTGGCCTCTTGGGGCTCTCTTCGGAGGCCTCTTGGAAGGCTCTTGGGGCGTCTTGGAGGCCTCTTGGGCTGTCTTGGGGGCCTTTTGGGCCGTCTTGGGGTCATCTTCGGCGTCTTCGAGCGCTCTTTGGGCGTCTCGGGGGCCTCTTGGGCAGTCTTGGGGGCCTCTTGGGGCACTCTGAGCGCGCTCTGGGGAGCCTGAGAGGCCGCACCCAGAAGGAAAACCATCTCTGAGTAGACTTGGTCGGGCGGCGGTCGGGCGGCGACCGGGCGGCGACCGGGCGTTGGTCGGGGTACTTTTCGCCGGGGGACCCCCAGGGGCCGCCCCGCGCGCGCGAACTAGAAATACTGTTAATACTGTTAACCAGTTACCGGAGATCTTAGCACGCCCTGGCCCGTTGGGCCGGCGAATTTCCTCTTGACGGTGTGCTTCCCAGCTCCGTAGCTTGCCTACAGCTCGAATTCAGTAGAGAGAACCAATGTCGCCTTTCAAACATTCATGCGCTGTTCTGTTTAGTTTTGTCATGCTCGTCGGAGGCGCGGGTGGCTGGATACTCGGGGGGAGGCTCGGTGGATCTGGGGATCTGGCGGCCGCGATGTGTAGGATGGGCTAGTCGGGAGGTCTGTTCTTCTGTCATATTCTGCTCTGGTGTATACATATAACGGTGCACCGGGCTCGGGGGCCGAGGGCCGGAACCTCGACCACAAATGTGGGGACGGGGGCCCGGGCCCGCCTTTGGGAGGCCTGAAATTGCCCCGGGGTGCCCTCAGACAGCAATCCCGGCGGCCCCAGGCGGTCTCGAGACACCCCCAAGATGCCGTCCAGGGGTCTCTGGCGACACACGATGCGTTTTAAACTGCCCCGGAGGCCCCTCAGACGCCCCAAGAGGCTTTCAAGATGCCGTCCAAGAGCGCCCCGATCTCTCTCTCTCTCTCTCTCTGCATCGGTCTCTCTCTGTAGTTTTTGGTTATTTTGTTTTGAGGGCCTCCCTCTTTCGCTTTCGGCTTCTCTTTCGCTTTCTCCTCTTTCTGTCTTTAATCCGATCTTTGTGATTCTCTTTTTTTTGGTTATCTCTCTTTCTCTTTCTCTCGCTTGGATCCTCCCTCTCTCTCATTCTTTCCGTCTCTCTCTCTCTCACTCTTTCTTTGCCTCTTTTTCTCTCTTTCGTCTTGCATCTTTGCTTACAGGTATCTCGCATTTTGCCGCGCCCACGGGCATACGCCGTGGCAGTGCGCATATCCTTTCGATGCATCCACGTGGCTGCGGCGAGATCCGTGGCTGTTCGATCGTCGCGTTTGCTGTGGCGACTGTTCGAGCTCCGCCCGACAAATCGCAACATGTGGCACATCTGGTTTTAATTGCTTCGGGATATCTCGGGGGGGGGCCCACTGCGGCTGTCTTGGGGCCCTTGGGTTCTCGTGGGGTTCCAGGTTGTCTGATGGTTTTCCTTTTCGCCGTTCAGGATCTTCCAAGACACCTTTCTGGGGAGCGGTTTTGGAGAATAGACTTGGGGCACTTTCCGGAGGCATCCAGATGCTCTTGAACGGTTCCGCCTGTGGTTTTGTTGGAGAATTTTGGGAGTCCTCAGATCCCGCCTCCCCTTCCCCTTTCCTTCGTCTCAGATCCCGCTGAAAAGTCGCGTGGGGTTCACGCAGGTCTTGTTCCAAAGACCTTTTGGGCTCCTGGATGTGAGTTGCTGCCTCGTCTTCCTCCTCACCTTCCTCCTCCCCCCGTGCCCTGAGCAGCCGGCACAGAGTTTCTCCCAGCTCTGCTTGCGAGTGCTTGAGCTTGATCTCTTGCCCACGCGCCGGACGGCGCATGGCGTGTGAGTGAACGACACGAACGCCTGTCGGCTTGCACCCGCCTGTGCCCTGGGCGCCGCCCCGTGGCGGGCGCAGGCTTGACCTCGTCCTTGACCTTCTTGGGATCCTCCTCCTCCTCCTTCTCATCCTCCTCCCTCCTCCTCCTCCTCCTCCTCCTCCTCCTCCTCCTCCTCCTCCTCCTCCTCCTCCTCCTCCTCCCTTCTCCTCCTCCTCCTCCTCCTGCTTCTCCTCCTTTTTCTTCTCCTCCTCCTTCTCCTCCTCCTCCTCCTCCTCCTCCTATTCCTCCTCCTCCCCCCCGCAATCTCCGCACCTCCGCGGCACACCTGGTCGCTGCCCTTGGCGCGCTGGGGCGGGTGAGCGCCGACCCACGAAATTCGCACGGACCTCCAAGAGTTGATGTTTCTCTTGGTCGAACGAGCCGCTGCTGGGGGAGCTGCGTGCGTCTCCCCTCGGGGGGGCCGTCGGCTTCGACAGCCCTCTCAAGAGGACGCCAGTGCGACGCGCTCCCCCTGAGAGGGGGGGGGGCAAAGAACACAGCTCCCCTAGTCGTGGCTGGTCGAACTTCCGGCTGCGCCCACGCGCGCGCCGGCGCCCACAGCGGCGACGCCCGCCGGCGGACTCCCGAACTCACGAGCCTGTGCAAAGTGACACCGCAGGGTCCAAAGTTTGATCGATGTCGGTGCCGCCTGTGTGCGGCGCACGGACTTCATCCGCAAAAGGCGTCTTACCACCGCAACCCGCCGCCACTGCGACTTCCTCGGGCCGCACCACTGTGGCGGTGCTGCGCAGCTGGTCCTTCCTTCTTCTCCTCCTCCTCCTCCTTCTCCTTCTCCTACTCCTCCTTCTCCGTCTCGGCCTCCTTCTCGTCCTCCTTCTCGTCCAACCCCTTTCCGCAGTTATTCAATCTGAATGCTATTCTCAAATTTCCCATGACATTCGGGTGTCGGCAAAAACATGCCTGTGAAGTTGGATCCTCGTTTGAAGACAAAGTAACCCCTCGCCCGGATCGTGGCCTCATAGGGAGGCCAGTCGAAACGTGGACCCAGAACGCGGTATCCCCGAATGCTTCTGGTTGGGTCCTTCGTCAGGTCAATTCCCCACCAGAGCCCAGCTAGTGTTCCGACGGCTTTCGATCTGCTTCGCGAGCCCGCAGACCAAAAAGTATCCCCACCAGCTTGCCGTTGCATTTTTGCTTCGTTCTGACGGCGCGCGGCTGTACCGCTTGCGCTCGCGACCAAAAAGTATCCTCATCAGCCCATTCAGAAGGCCTGCCCACGAGAGCTGACGGGAAAAGGGACGAAGGGACACATCTAGGGAAACAAAGCGAGCAACCAGGATGAACTGAGAGATCTCTGGGAGCAAGGGGGTGGCCTTGGAAGGCCCCTTCCGGCCATCCCTGGGGGCGGGGAAGAGGAGGAGGAAGAGGAGGAGGAGGAGGTGGAGGGATCCAAAGAGTGTGATCCCTGGTGCTGCTGCTGGTGGTGGTGCTGCTGATGTTGTTGCTGCCTCTGCTGGTGCTGCGGCTGGTGCCCTGGAAGGCCTCTTGGGGCCATCTGGGAGAGCATCGATCAAAACATGGGGGGGTCCTCGATTTCGGCCCCCTTGCAGGAGCCCTCAAGATCGCCTCTTGGAGCTCTCCTGGGTTTTTTTTGGGAGGGTACTGGGGCTCTCTTGGGGCTCCTTTCGGGGTCTTTGGGGCCCTGTTTTGGCCCTCGTGGGGATCTCTTGGGGCCCTCTTTGGGAGCTCCGGCAGGCCTCTTGGGGCCATCTTGAAGGCCATCGATCAAAGGAGGGGATGGTACAACGTTCGGCCCCCCTCCCCAAACAGGCCAAAATGGGGCCCGAACCTGGGTAAAACCAATGGTTTTGGCGCCCAGAGGGCTCGTGGGAGAACGACGTTCAGCCCCCCCCCCCCCCCCCCCCCCCCCCCAAAGAGGCCAACATGGGGCCACAACCTCAGCAAAACCAATGATTTTGGCGCCCAGAGGGCTGATGCGACATTTTTCAGCCCCCCCCAAAGAGGCCAAAATGGGGCCAACACCGCAGTAAAACCAATGATTTTGGCTTCCTCGCCGAGGCCGTTTTGGACGGACACCTCGCGTACCCCCCCAAAAACGTCCAGGGGAGGAGTAAGGGGAGGGGTAAACCCCTCCCCGTAGGCGAAGAGGGTTTTTTTGAAGAGGAAGGAGGGGTCTTGTTAGACCACTTGCGCCCAGAAGGCTGGTGGGATTCCTTCTCCTCCTGCCCTTGACGCCGTCTGCTGTCCAGGAGGGTCTAGCTACGCAGCTGCCTGCGACAAGTCCCGCCACCGTGCCAGCCCAGCAGTCTCTGGGTGGCGACTGTTCGAGGGGGCGCGGGAGGCCGTCACATGGGACACCGTGTGTCTCCAGAGTTGAAAGGGCCGTGATTACGATGAAGATGATGATACGGGTGAGGATGTAGATGGTAATGAGGAGGATGATAGGGATGAGGATGTGGATGATAATGAATATGATCATGATGATGGCGATGATGATGAGGAGGAGGAGGATGACGAGGAGGATCAGGACGATGGGAATGATGATGATGATACTGATGATGATGAAGATGACGATGAGGATG